TCCAGGTACAGTTCCAAAGGTTTTATCCAGCTTGCATCAATCTAGATACACTGCTTTTGTATGGGCATTAGAAGACAGTGAGGGTTAAATGAAGAATTCCATAAAAAGGGACCTTTGTATTAATTGATAGAATACATCTCTTTCTATGAATGGCTGAGCAGATGCCATTGTTTTCCAGATATGAGACATGAAGGTCTCAGCTAGCACCCTGAACACAGTGCTGTATACTGTATATGGCCTAATTTACATACAGTTTATACAGCACATTCAGCGGTCTCAGATGTTAGTGAGGGACATAGTTTTTTTAGGCCAGCTTGGCCCAAACAAATTAAAGTGTAACAAAAGCTGGAGATCAGCTTTAAACTAACTGGTTTGTAGTTACTTGGTAAAGACTTTGATCCCTTTTTAAATATAGGCACCACATTGGCCTTACACCAAACCACATGCCAATCAATAAAGAGTTCGTAAACGTAGAGGCAATAACTTTGCAATAAAAGAGATCAACTCCTTTAGGACACATGGGTGTAGGCCATCTGGTCCAAGTGCTTTATTCACCTTTATTCTGCCCAAATGTTTCTGGTCCACATCAATTTTCAGCTACAGTGCTTCATTTGGGGCTATGTCAATACTATCCCTATTATGGACTTAAAGCGGAGCTCAACCCAAAAGGGGAAATATCACTTTAAGTCTTCGTTCCCGGCTCTCTGTTAAGGATTGGTACCTTTGTGGAGGGGGGGGGTTAAATGAGAAGCTTACCTGAATTTGACAGGTACCCACTCACCAAGGCGATCGGAAGTGGAAGTTCTCCTTCCCCTCTCCTTCACCATACTCTTTTCGGACATGTGACAGATCTCAGAAGACTATGACCATTCATAAAGTGCAGTGCTACTCGCTCATGCACAGTGGGCACCCGCTGTGAAGCCACAAGCTGTCACAGCTGGGTGCCCATTCTGAAGATGTGGGGGACACAGGATGGCCAGTGAACCTGGCTGGTGTGAGGGCACTGCTGGATGGAGGAACAGGTGTCTATTTTATTTTGAATGTGAATAAATTAAAACTTTAAATGCCTATATTTCTAGCTAGTGTTTATGGAAAATATTGAATATTTACCACAAGCTGTTGGATCTGAGGTGGACAGCATGGCGTGCTTTACGATATATGGAGGAGAAAAGGGTGTTCCAAAGCTCTTGCCACAAAGTTGGAATCTGACATATTGTGTAATATGCATGTAAGCCATGGCATTAAAAGTACCCTTCACTGGAAATAATTGAATTGTATAAAGGGGTATCCAATTACATTTGGCCATATAGTAGGAGTGACTGGCAGGTGTCTACATACATTTGGTCATATAGTGTATTGCCAAATTCAATATCACTTCTATGCTGGGTACAGACCATTTAAAAAGAAACAAAAAAGCAAAAGAAACTATTTTTAATGTATTTTTAAAACAGGACTGAAATACAAGAAAATCCCATCACAAATGAAGTGGAAAAAAGGAAACTGATAACTGAAAAGGTCTCTGTTACCTACATTAGTTCTTCACCTTGATTTCCTGCCCCTCTCATTACAATGACAAAAGAAACAGCAAAGGCAAAACAAGCACAAGGCAAAGGAAATACATTTGCAAACATACAATGAACTGCAATTAAAGTTACATCATCTAACAGATGATGTTGGTGATAATAAGTGGATCATTATGTAAAAAACTTTCCAGACACCAATTAGTCAGACAATAACAGTTTTGTATTTTTTTAATGGTGGATAAGAAAGAAGGATCAATGAACCCTTTCAAGAAGAAGCCTTTTGTTCTCCCCTTTTTATCTCCTACTACTCAGTGTTTTACTAATTTTAAAGTGGATGCTGCAAAAGCTAATTTTAGCAGTCTTTTCCTTTAATCAGCAGATATTTTTCAGAGATGGGGTGTTACAGCCTTATGGAAGAGTGACTTATAAATAAAAAAAAAAAACTTGTTTTATAGTTTAACCCCTTTCTGGTGCATGTCCACATATATAAGAAGTGGGTCTTCCTCTGTGTGGTCACATTCATACTCTTGCCATCAAGAGCCCTGGGTCCCAAACTAATGATAGGGAACCAGGAAGCCCAGTTCCCGATCATCTGATCGTTGTGATAGCCTCCAATTGCCTATCACAGGGATCAGTAACTGTGCAGACCTCCCCGGATTTATTCCTCCTTATGAATAGAGAAAAATATACACTGTTATTTTTTTATTTTTTACTGCTACAGGAAAAAAATGTACACAAAACAAATCTGTGTAAAAAAAAAAAAAAAGAAAGAAAAAATAGACCTGGGTTTGATCAAGGTCAGGGTTAGGGTAGGATGCAAGCACAGGGTCAGTGTATTTCATGTAAGATAAAAAAAAAAGCAGGACTTTCAATTTTAAGCGTAGTTCCACCTAAATTTTGCATTCCCTTTAACTCCAATGCATTTTGCTAAAATTACTAATATTTGCAGGAATAATCTTGGTTCACTAACCTCTACTTAGGAGTTAAAGTGGTTGTAAACCTCAGACATGAAATATGAACAAAGCATATCCCTCTATAATGTGTACCAGAGCCCTAAGTGTCATTTCTGTCTGCTGCCTCAATCCTCTGCTATGGACATGAGTCACTTCTGTCACGTTTTCCTGACACCAAGAGAAAAATGGAGGGATCTCAAGCAGATTGACAGCCTTAGCTCTGTTCCTGTGAGTGGTGTGGAAGGGTGTGTCTCTTCCCTCCAATCATCCAGCTCTCAGAGCTCTTCTCACTGAAATTTGCAGTGTGTAATTTCAGCTCTCTCCCATTTGTCTGAGCAGTCAGACAAGCTTTACAAGTTCAGCACTTTAAACGGATGCAGAGAAGGGAAGACTGCAGATAGACAGGTACAACTTATGTAGGAGGATTTGTTTGTTTCTCTGTGTATCACCTGATGCCAGTTACTTTGCTGGGTATACAGTGAGGAACATAAGTATTTGAACACCCTGCGATTTTGCAAGTTCTCCCACTTAGAAATCATGGAGGGGTCTGAAATTCACATTGTAGCTGCATTCCCACTCTGAGACACAGAATTAAAAAAAAAATTCAGGAAATCACATTGTATGATTTTTAAAGAATTTATTTGTCTTGCACTGCTGAACATACTGTATTTGAACACCTAAGAAACAGGAAGAATTCTGGCTCTCAAAGACCTGTTACTGTGCCTTCAAAAAGGCCACCTCTACTCCACTCAATAATCTAACTTAGTAGCACCTGTCTGAGCTCTTTAAAGACACATGTCCACCCTACAGTCAGACACCAACTACTACCATGGGCAAGACCAAAGATCTGTCAAAAGACACCAGAGACAAAATTGTGGACCTCCAAAAGGCTGGAAAGGGCTACGGGGAATTGCCAAGCAGCTTGGTGAAAATAGATCAACTGTTGGAGCAATTGGTAGAAAATGGAAGAGGCTAAAGACGACTGTCAGTCTCCCTCGGACTGAGGCTCCATGCAAGATCTCACCTCGTGGGGTATCACGGATGATCAGAAAGGTGAAGAATCAGCCCAGAACTACAGGGGAGGAGCTGGTCAATGACATGAAGAGAGCTGGGACCACAGTTTCAAAGGTCATTGTCGGTAGAACACTACCCCGTCATGGTTTCAAATCATGCATTGCACAGAAGGTTCCCCTACTCAAGTCTTCACATGTCCAGGCCCATCTGAAGTTTGCCAATGACCATCTGGATGATCCAGAGGAGGCATGGGAGAAAGTCATGTGGTCATATAAGACCAAAGTAGAACTTTTTGTTCTACACTTCACTCATCGTGTTTGGAGGAAAAAGAAGGATGAGTTGCATCCCAAAAACACCATCCCTACTGTGAAGCATGGGGGTGGTAACATCATGCTTTGGGGGTGCTTTTCTGAGAAGGGGACAGAACGACTGCACTGTATTAAGGAGAGGATGAATGGGGCCATTTATTGTGAGATTTTGAGCAACAACCTCCTTCCCTCAGTCAGAGCATTGAAGATGGGTCATGGCTGGGTCTTCCAACATGACAACGACCCGAAGCACACAGCCAGGATAACCAAGAAGCATATCAAAGTTCTGGAGTGGCCTAGCCAGTCTCTAGACCTAAATCCAATAGAACATCTTTGGAGGGAGCTGAAACTCTGTTATTCAGCGACAGCCCCGAAACCTGATAGATCTAGAGGAGATCTGTGTGGAGGAGTGGGCCAAAATCCCTGTTGCAGTGTGTGCAAACCTGGTCAAGAACTACAGGAAACGTTTGACCTCTGTAATTGCAAACAAAGGCTTCTGTACCAAATATTAACACTGATTTTCTCAGGTGTTCAAATACTTATGTTCAGCAGTGCAAGACAAATAAATTCTTTAATAATCATACAATGTGATTTCCTGAATTTTTTTTTAAATTCTGTCTCTTAGAGTGGGAATGCACCTACAATGTGAATTTCAGACCCCTCCATGATTTCTAAGTGGGAGAACTTGCAAAATCTCAGGGTGTTCAAATATGTCTGTTCCTCACTGTATATAAGTAGTACTTGTAGTAGTTGTATTAATTAATACTCAAATTAATTGCACTGATTGTGAATCGAACCAAAGATGTGGCATTTAGGACTTTTGATGTGCTTTCAGAAAACACACTACCTAATAAAAGTCAATGGGACCATGGCTACACATTTGTGTAAAATGCACTTAAACCGCACATACACCCGCATTGTGGGCAAAATACAGCTCACCAGTATAAACCTGGCCTAAAATACCAGAAGGGGTGATGTAGTACAAAGTGACAAATCAGAGTTTTCTTGTCAAGTATGATTCTAGCTGTGGTGTCAATAACACTTCTGAATAGACATAACACAAAAAACAGATAGTGTATATGTATAGAACATAATAATAATTTAAAAATTCTCCTTAATTTTTTTAAATATTTAATGAAACAGCTCATAAGCTTGCTTTGTCATACAGAACATATATCTATTGGTCTAGCTTTCTTTCTTACCTCATGATATATTGAAGGCTTTGATAATGATGGTATAGTAAATGACAGTACTTTATTGTTTCCATCTTTGTCAGCAATTTCCTATAAATCAGGGAAACAATGTTATTTAAAGGTGCAATTAGCCAGAAACCACTGAAAATTATGTATGTGCTGTATTTATTGTTACGAAGCAAAAAGACTTACAGTATAGCATAATAATTGCATTACAAAAAAACTAAGAAAACATTATAACAAAAAAACACACTGAAAAAGTGACCCTGTTGTGACAGAAATGAGCTGTCAGAGCAAACCTCCGTCTAGAAAATGTATGTTGTTTGGTGTCAATGCTTTTGGAGTCAGACCTGGAATAAATCTGCTGTAAACAAATGTCTGAAAATGCCAAATTCCTTATTTCTATACTTATCCCATGTCAGTGACCCAAGAAGTTCTGAAGCCAATGCATCAGCTGACAACCAGGAAATTGGCATTTTCAGGAGAAACTTCAACATATGTTAAATTTTAGACACTGTTTATTGCAGGTACTTTAATTATACACTAGTATTACATATGATTAACACCTTTAACCCTTTTGCTGTCTGATCCTTTTTTGCATTTTTTTTGCACACATTTAAAAAATAATTTTAGACCTAAAGATTACTTAAAACCCCCAAAATATCATATACACTAAAATTAATTTTACAGCGCACAAACACATTACATTACACAATTTTTCGGTAATATATAAAAGATAAAGTTGTGGCTACAAAATATATACTCAATATGTCCAGGCTTAAAAATGCATGCGCCCCAGAAATGGTAAGAAATTTCAATACCTCATATTTTCCATTTTAAAAGCCCTACAGCCTCCCTAATGGGGGCATAGACAGCAAAAAAAAAAAAACTGATGAGTTCTAAACCCTCTCCACTATATCCAAAACTATTTTAAAAAAAAAGTTGCCTTTAGTGACTCTTTGTGCTTGGGTGTAACTTTGTAATTTTTTTAATATTTTTAAATTTTCCACTAAAAACTTTCATCACACAGGGACAAAAAGGTCCCTATGTCATAATTTGTTTGGTGACATGTTCTCTTTAATGAGACATCAGGGTAAAAGACCAATGAAGCAAACAGACAGCAGATCACACTACCTTAGCTCATTTCCCAGCCAGAGCCCCACCCCCTTTAACCTCCCTAGCGGTATGTTACAATTTGAAACACAAAATCATAAATTATAAAATTTAATAAATAATCATAATATAATAATAATAAATGTAATTCAATAATATAATCAAACCAAAAACACTGAAATTTGAAATATAGCACCAAGTTCGCACATCACTGAGCAAAGTCGTAAAATCGTTTTCAGTGTCTGATGATGAATTTCCCCACGAATCATTATCACTCAATTCTGCAAGTAGTTCTAATTTACTATCGCTGTTCTCTAGCTGGTCTAAAACCGCTTTTGACCTAAAGGGACGCTTTTTGGACGCCATGGACATTTCTCAGTTTCCAGGCAAAAAGAACAGTAAAAATGCAGGCAGGGCACAGGACAAAGCACTAGGGACAAAATGTATGTGAAATGGTTTGATACAGTAATGTTTTACTATGTGATTTTGGCGTAATTAGTGAATGCCACTTTTTGTCATTTTCAAATTTCCCGCAGTTCCGTCCCCGTACGTCCTGACGCTCGCAGGGGACGGAACCCAGATGACAGATGCCGGCATCCGCCGAAGGACATTGCAGGGGACACTGCAGGAGGGACATCACGGGAGCGCAGGACAAGGTAAGTGAAGAACAGATCCCGGAGCAGAGCCACATGGCAAGCCCGAGTGTAGCTCGGGGTTATCGCTTTTGGTACTGAAACTTTACCCCTGAGCTACACTCAGGAATACCGCCAGGGAGGCTACCCAACTGTTGGCTTGAAGAAAAAAAAACCCCAGATCACTTAGGAATCCTTCTCTCTTCTTTTGTATACTTCCTGGTGTCCAAATGGTGGAGGTGGCCCGATTGGTGGTGGCAGAGACCTCTGTTATAAGCTCCAGAGGCAGCAGAACTCATTGGGGTGGTGGGGGGGAACAATGGCTAAGAAGATAATGAGCAGGGAAATATGCCTCATCTCCAGACAGGAAATTAGCTCTCAGCAAACTGAGACTTTGATCCAGTACATTGCAGAGTGGCTTAGGAAGAGGCGTTTGCAATCAAGACTAAGCAGTAAGGTAATTGATTCACAATGCACTATTTAAATTTAATTTTTGTCTGGAGTTAGGCTTTAAAGACAAAAGTAGGACATGGCACAGAAGAGGTTAGAAATAAATCTGTATATTACAGTATAGATAGGTTTTCAGTTAAAGGAATTATAAAGGTAAAAAGATTTTTCCTTTAATGCAGTCTCTGCATTAAGGTAAAAAAAAAACCCTTTCAAATGTTGCTCCCCTCAGCCCCTCAAAACACCTACCTGAGCCTGACCTTGATCCAGCACTGCAGCAGCTCTTCTCCCTTCTCACAGGAAACTTGGCAGCAACGGAAGCCTTTGGCTCCTACTGCTGTCACTCAAATCCTGCAAGGAGGAATCCAGAGGCAGGGCCTAGCCAGGCTATGTGTGTCTATAGATGCATACAGTCCGGCTCAGGATTGAGCCCACGTAGCAAGCGGCTTTCTCTGGGGGCAGGCGAAGAAGAGGCGGAGTGCACAGCACTGGCAGGAGCCCCAGAAGAGGAGATTCGGGGCTGCTCTGTGCAAAGCCATTGCACAGAGCAGGTATGTATGACACCTTGTACAAGCTAAATTGGAGCAATCTCTTTCTGATTGTTAATGCAGTCAGCAAGTACCCAAATCTGTTGTAAGAGTTACCATAACACTCTCCAACCAAATGTTGGGTTTCTTGGAGACTTCTTTTATAATCAAGTGGTCAGAACTTGGGTTGAATTTGCTGGACCAGCCAATTAAGGACAAATTAGAAGTTATTTGAAAACTATGCCACTTGTAGATTATTTTTCTTACAATGGAATTATTGATTTCACATCATTTGATGACTTTTCTAAATCCCTTGCCAGACTCCTAGGCCATCTTTCTATTGATCTTGGCATTACCTATGAAAATAGCAAAGAGAACTCCAGGACGTAGATGTCTGAGGTTTAAAGGGTGCATCCACACCTGTGAATGCAATGCAAAGCAATTACATGTGAGGCAGCCCCATAGAAAGCAATGAGAGTCTGCCAGCTCTCTCAGCTAATTTGCAGGAGCAGTGCGAATCAGCAGCAGGCATTTACACTCGTATACATCCCAATTAACCACTCGCTCCCATGTTCCTTTCCTCACCACTTCTTCTTCTTCTAACCTCTGGGGATCTCCTTTATAGCCCCAAACCCTGGTCCATCTCCAGTAGCTCTCTCACCCCCACACCAGACCCGAGCACCCTCATTTCCTCCAGGAATAGCCACAATCCCCTCAATTTAATATCAATACCAAACCCTGGTCCCATGCTCCACACCAGCCAAAAAAACCACCCTCCCCTTTTTCATGTGCTCCACTCTGGAATGCTCGCTCTGTCTGTCAGCAATAAGCTCACCTCTGTCCATGACTTTTTTGTCTCCCGCTCCCTTAACCTACTAGCAATTACATAACCCTGGCTTCAAGCAGCAGATTCTTCTTCTCCCGCAGCACTTTCCTATGGTGGCCTTCTCTGGAGTCACTCACCCAGACCCAGTGGTCGGAAAGGAGGTGGGGTTGGTTTGCTTCTATCCCTCACTAAGCACTTTTCAAGTCCTCCCTAACCCTCCCTCTCTATCCTTCTCTTCTTTCGAGACTAACTGCATCCGGCTGTTTTCTCCCATTTCTCTGAAGATTGCAGTGATCTATCGGCCTCCTGGACTGGTGTCCCGCTTTCTTGATGATTTCTCTGCCTGGCTACTCTACTTTCTCTCCTCTGAACTACCCACTATCATTCTTGGAGATTTTAACATCCCCATTAATGTCAACAACCCAGCTACATCCCAACTCTTCAAAATAACCTCATCTTTTGCATTAGCACAATGTATACAGTCCTCCACTCACTCTGATGGGAATACATTAGACCTTGTTTTCTGCCATCTTTGCACTCCCTGCAACCTCACAAACACCTCCTTTCCTCTCTCTGATCACAATTTCATCACCTTCACAGTGTCCTCATCTTCAAACACTTATCCCTCCAAGCAGCAAACAATTACCCGCAGAAACCTTCACAACTTGAACCTTGCTCCTTTCTACTCTGCAACTGACCAACTCTATGACATAATCTCTCCCCTGTCCTGCCCTCACCTGGCCACTACTGTCTACAACAGTTTGCTTTCATCCACACTAGACTCACTTGCTCCTCTAACAACACGAAGCATCAGGCCCCGACCGTTACAACCTTGGCAGACTGACAACACCAGAAATCTTAAACGACATAGTCGTGCGCTGGAGCGATTGTGGCATAAAACCAAATCTCACCAAGCATTCACCATATATAAATCTGCTTTCTTAACATACAATTCCTTCCTCCATGCTGCCAAACAAGCCTACTTTGTCACTCTCATCAATAGCTTATCATCTAGTCCTTGTCGTCTCTTCTCTACTTTTAACTCTCTACTTTCTCCACCTTCACCTCCACCCAGCACCTCACTCACTGCTCATGAGATTAAAAATCATTTCAAAAGCAAGATTGATGCAATTCGTAGGGGCATCGCCACTGCACAGACATCCATCCCACTTCGCATACCTTATACTAAACCTCCCTCAACACTTTCCTCTTCTGACCTTGCTACTCCTGAAGAGGTCACTAAGGTTTTCTTAGAAGCCCGTCTCTTTACCTGCCCCCTCACAACTACTACGGTCACCCTCTTCTTCTGTCCTACGCTCCCTCACTCACATCTTCAAACTCTCCCTCTCTAACGGTGCCTTCCCCTCCCCTCTAAAGCATGCACACATCACTCCCATACTTAAAAAGCCCTCCCTGGACCCCACCAACCTGAACAACTTAAGACCCATCTCCCTGCTCCCATTTACCTCTAAACTCTTAGAACGCCTAGTCTACAATCGCCTGAGCTCCTACCTCACTGACAACAACCTTCTTGACCCTTTACAGTCTGGCTTTCGCTCACTACACTCCACTGAAACTGGCCTTATAAAACTCACTAATGATCTACTAACTGCTAAAACCAATGGTCATACTCCATACTCTTACTACTCGACCTCTCTGTGGCTTTTGATACAGTTGACCCTCCCCTCCTCCTCAAAAAACCCACTCTCTTGGCCTCCGAGATTCTGCTCTCTCCTGGTTCTCCTCCTACCTATCGCAGCACTCCTTCAGTGTTATTTATAACTCTGGCTCCTCCTCTTCACTCCCTCTTTCTTTAGGGGTCCCTCAAGATTCCATGCTTGGGCCCCTACTCTTCTTCATCTACACCTCCTCCTTTGGTCACTTGATAAACTCCCATGGCTTTAAGTATCATCTCTATGCTGATGACACACAAATCTATCTTTCTACCCCTCACCCTTTTAGTCTCCTCTCGCATTACTAACCTACTAAGTGACATATCGGCATGGATGTCACTCCACTTCCTCAAACTCAATCTTTCCAAAACTGAGCTCTTAGTATTCCCTCCAGCCCATGCCCCCTCCCCTGACTTCACCATCATGATCAATAACACAATCATCAGTCCCTTCCCTCATGCCAGGGTGCTAGGTGTAACCCTAGACTCCCATCTGTCCTTTCAGCCCAAAATCCAATCGCTGTCCAAATCTTGTAGACTTCACCTCCGCAACATCTCCAAGATATGGCCGTTCTTAACCTCGGAAACCACTAAGTAACTTATTCATTCCCTTGTTATATCTCGCCTTGACTATTGTAACTCCCTCCTCATTGGCCTAACTCATCGCAGGCTATCCCCTCTTCAGTCTATCATGAATACTGCTGCCAGACTCATCCACCTTACTTACCGTTCTGTATCAGCCACCCCTCTCTTCCAATCCCTCCACTAGCTTCCCATTGCCCAACGGATACAGTTCAAAACATTAACAATAACATATAAAGCCATTTATAACTCTGCCCCAAATTACATCAGCAATCTTGTCTCCAAATATCACCCAAACCGTACTCTCCGCTCATCACAAGACCTCCTGCTCTCTAGCTCCCTTGTCTCCTCCTCCCATGCTCGTCTCCAGGACTTCTCCAGAGCTTCCTCCATCCTCTGGAACGCTCTACCCTAATTTATCAGACTATCGCCTACTCTGCTCACTTTTAGGCAATCTCTGAAAACCTATCTCTTCAGGAAAGCCTATCCTGCCCTCAGCTAATATTGGAATCTTCTACTCTTCCACAGTTATTACCTTTTGTACTACTAACCCCTCCCTCCTAGATTGTAAGCTCCAAGGAGCAGGGCCCTCCTATTCCTCTTGTATTGAACTGTATTGTTGCTGTATTGTCTCCCTTTATATTGTAAAGCGCTGAGCAAACTGTTGGCGCTATATAAATCCTGTATAATAATAATAAAATAATTGCGCCCACTTGCATGTTAATGCTGCAATTACATGCAAGTGATAGTCCCTGGACACAGGCAGTTTGTGTCCACGGCTGATCACCTGCATGTGATCTGAGTATGAACAATTTCATGTGAGTGGACACCATCAGCTGTGAGAGTCGGCAGTCTCCCATTGCTTTCAATGAGGCTGCCTACTCACAGCTAGTTGTGGGAACCCCTGCTGGGGTTCTTGCATGTAAATCACCAACAGGGTGCATTCACAGACCAGTTCCACCTGCATACTCTTTAAGAAGATTCTAATTATTGGCCCCTAATATGGAACACCAGATTCTAATTTCATGGATTTGAAGTGGTGGTGAATAAAGGAGTGTACTTCCTTTCGCTATGTGCCAAATCCATATTTTGTTATTTGGATCATAAAAATTAATACACCACGGCGGTTTTATGTGTCATTTATTTAAGTATATTGCCTTTATTTGTAGTTATGTTTGCTATTCAAATACAGTATATTGAAAGTCAACAATTTGCATAGAATGTACTTATTTTTTCACAGGACTGCGAATGTGTGTGGTGTATTTACAGTATGTGTGTATATACACGATGCCTGGTAGACATAAAAAAAGAAGTGTCTCGTTTCCTAAGGGATCTAGTGTTCATAGCACTTGATCCCACTCAATCAGGCAGTTTCCAGTACCACTGGAACAGAAGTGAAAGATTTAGAAAAATGTTTCCACTTTAGAGAAAATGCAAAGACTGCAGCAACATTGAAATTAAGTGGGGTCCATAAAAGGGATATCCTTTTCTTCAGTGCTGATTGGAAGTAATCAGCTATGGTGCAGTAGTAGGGTTATATAAGGCTGCCCATATTCATTGTTCCTTGCATGAAAGAGTTGCTGAATAAGTCATACATTGGGCAAGTTTATTACCAAATAAGAATAAAAATGCAATATTCCATCTCAAAAAAGTGCTTACCAGATTGTAAATTCCCAACAAAAGAGCTTCAATACAGCCATTGCTCTGCCGATCGCGACTGGCAGTGAGGCGCAAATAAATGGAAATCAACTCTGGCAGAAATTGCATGGTAAACCTCTTCAGTCGAACTTCCGAGCTGCGATAGAGCTCAAAAAGCTGGTGGCAGATTGGTTCCAGAAGCTGACAACATAAAACAAAAAAGAAAATTGTGATACGATCACATCTGTTATAACAAGAGGAGAGTGTAGGATGGTGAATAATACAAGCAGTGCATAAAAACCCCAACTGCAGATTCTGCAAAATAGAGAAAGGTCTCCAGACACTGCCAACTGTTATTACCAAGTGGCATAGATTTCACCACTTTTTTTCTAATATAGAAGTATAAAAAGTGTATTTACAGCTAACATGTTCTTGTAGTTTGGACAGAATAGCACAAGATCACATCTCTGCAGTTTTTAAAGCTGTGTCCACACTGAGGAGATTTGCCCTATCTGTCCTTGTGACTAATAACACTTTGCCTGAAAGTAAGTAAAAGACTAAAATTTGAATTGTCATTAGAGCAGAAATATCTTCAAATAGATCTAGTTTCCAGGGTGTCTTACTCATTCTTGCTTCACTATTCAGAAAGTTACTAGCAACAGAGCAAGCATGCTCACAGTGAAGTATGAGAATCTTGGCCTGATGAGTAGAGGTAAGGGGAAACAGATGAATCAGTAATGAATTCTTTTATTCAAAAATGCCAATCATGAAAACAGACACATGTTTATATATTATGGAAAATTATAGGTTGTCACACAAATATTATGGCTTGAAGGAATGCTAAGCTTAGCCCGCTTTAAACAGACAACAAGACTACCAATAAATCTTAAAGAGAACCTGTTGCCAGACCATTCATTTCAATAACAATCCTCCTATAAAATGTTATGTGTATTTAACATAGTTTGGCCATGTTATTTACCTGTAAAAGGCTCTTATAAAAAAATCTAAGAGAACCTCCTAGGTGCTGCCATCTTGTACATGACATCAGCAGTCTCAGCTGAGCTGTCACTCAAGTGACACTATATAGTATTCCCTTTCACTCCTCCCCTAGCTGCTACATAAAAGGTTTTGTAGAGAGGGGAGGAGTGGAGGAGTTGGGCCAGCACAAAGAATTAGGCAGTCCAAGAGGAGAAGGATATGACATTGCAGGAGGGAGGGGGCTAGTACTAAGGAAATGACTAGTCAAATTTACTAGCAAGTTCATAAGCAACTTGCAAGTCAAGGTGTTACTAAGCCCTCAACAGTAAAATCAGTCTGTATATGCAGTAAAGCATGCTGTGTTATACTCACTGTGGAACCTACAGGGTTAATCCTCCGCATTGTGTTAAAAGGCTGTTTGATCCTGACTTCTCTAATCCTCCCCTTCTACTGTTCCCAATCCATCTGCTGATAGTACAGAGCTCTGGGAGTCATTCTGCACTCTCAGTTTCGTGTGTATTGCTATTGTGTTTTTGTTTCTTTGGGAGCGTGCATGTGATCAGCACAAGGCCAATCAGCACTGTCCAGAGTATGAAGAATTATGCAGTCTCATAGGACAGTCAGAGCAGAATGAAAACTTCTCCTACAAACTTTAACTACTGCTCAGCTGGACACTGATAGAAGTCCCAACGCTGCTATATACTGCAGATGAAAAAAGGTATTTATTTTTACTAAAATAATTGCATTTCCATGATGTGCATACTGTGGGATACCAGATATAGTGAATGCAGGGTCATGGGTTTAGTAACACGAATACATTTTCTGTGCTTTTAGCTGCAAGTTTTTGGTTAGTGACAGAGTTTCACAACTTGTTAGGCACACTAGGTTATTCAAAAGCCTTAATGCTACTTAGAAAATTGGTTATGCCACATTGACTCACAAACCAATTTTGTGGAGAATGGAGGTAAAAATATATGCACGGAGGGCATTTAAGACCTGTACAATCCAAGCTAGAACTATACCATAGACTCATGTTATGCACCATCCATGCTATGTAAAAGGAAACTGTGTCAGCCAATATCTATCTCTGAACAAATCTATTTAAATTAAATCCACAGTGTGTTCCAATCTAAGGGAACTGAGAGAAGCAATTATGTTGAAGTGTAATGAGTTGTCTGTGTACAAAGTTGCCCGCTTGATCCTCAACTTCATTGATAAAATATCAAAGCCGTTTCATTGTCTATGTTAATGACCCATGATCTCCCATAGGGCATCTGTAATAGCGTGTTAGCTGTACAAGAAATGTAGGCTGTACAGGAGTGATCATTTTGCAATATTCTTGTTTGCTCCTAACCCCCCCCTTCATCTCAGTTCTGTGTGGATGTTGTTATAAACCCACGCAAAATATTTAGTGTAGATGCGGGACTATCCCCACCTTAAAGATTATAATTAGTGTGGATGCTGGAATATTCCCACCTAAGATGTTGTATTCAGTGTAGATTATAACATGTCCCCTGCTTATTAATCTGAACAACAATATTTAGTGATATTCTACTGAGAAAAATGACGAGAAAAAAAAAAAATTGGGAAACCAGCATGAAAATTTAAGAAAAATGCCTCCAAAGATAATACCCAAGGACAGTGGTCTCCAAACTGCGGCCCTTTGCTTGCCTTTGTCTGGCCCTTGGGCCAGTATTCCTTCCATTGACACCAACAATGATGCACTATTTCTCCCACTGACACAAATGATGGGGCATTATTCCTCCCCCTAATACCAAACATGAGGCACAATTTACTCCCAGTGACCTCAAGACATTTTTGTCTCCTACTGCCCACAATCCAGCCCCCCTAAAGTCTGAAGGACAATAAACTGGCCCTTTGTGTAGAAAGTTTGGAGACCCCTGCTCCAGGACATGGTCACTGTGAGGAGCTGTAATGCTTGCCATCTATCAGAGTCAACTATCCTGAGTGAGGAAGATCACATTTTGGCTGATTTACTAAAGGAATCGAGCATGTTCATTTTACAAAACTAATTTTCACTTAACAGGTAAAGCTAAGTGAGCAATCACTTTAATGAATTTTTCATTATGATACCACAACATGTGCAGCAGAATAAAAAAAAGTAAGATTTTTGCTGGCACATAATTGGATGAAATCAGTAGCTTCTCTGCTAAGGTGAAAATTCACTTTGCAAAGTGAACATGCTCTACTCATTTAGTGAATCAACCCCAATTGTAAATGTTATTGCATGATGACTTTGTATTCAAGGGTAGAAAATGTCTATCAGGAGATCCCATTCTGAGTAAAACATTTCATAGGTGTTTTTTAGCATGTAATAACCTTGGATTTGTAATTTTACTGCGCCTAATAAAACTATTAACTGGCAGTTGGTACCAGGCTGAGCAGGGTTTGGGTATTAGGCTGTTAGGTGCATTTACCCATATACAGAATTTGTTTTTAGACATAGACTTTTCTGACAAAATAGCTATAGCTTGCTGACACAAATGTTAGATAATTATGCAGCACCACTAAATATTCAAATGAGTTCAATTTTGATTACAACCTATACAACCAATAGTATCTATAAAAATACAGAGGAGAAGGTACAGTAATTCAAATGCAGACGGCTTTATTTAAAAAGTATATATATGTTCTGGGTAAATGACAGTTCACTGTTCTGACAAACATTAAACTTGAACCAAGCACATGAACACTAACTAAACCAGTTTTTGTTTCTTCTATGCTGTTGTGGAACTGCTGGCACAGGTCATTTCATGGAAGGCTTACATCTGCAATAACGGTAAAAGTATTGGAACATATTGTGCTTTTTTCAGCAGCAATTAGGTTATTTGAACTACGAAACTGCTGAATGCTTATTATCTGTTCAATCTGACAGCAATTTAATCATAAACATATGCTGCAACTCAGGGTGGCAGATGTCAAGCATTTGGATATTTCTCTACTTGTCAGGATCTTCCCCCATTTATGCATTATCATTAGAGTTGTTTTTTTTTTTAAACAAACAGTTATCTAAATGTATTCGAGAACCATGGAAAGAAAAAAGTAATGAAGGTGACACTGAGGAGCCATTTTATGTTATGTGTAATGTAAATTGTAAATGCAAATTAAGTAAATTGTAAAACTGGATATTAAAAACCTGGTAAGGTGAGCATAAAGTGAAATCACCTCAAACATCTTCACACATCATCAAGCATGCCCTGAAACCTTGGTAGTGTAAAAGCCACTTCCATCCCCTCTTGCCTTACCACACCTTTTGGTTAACAAGTAAGATGGTCTACATTACTGATTGGGAGCTGCAGAAGGTGGAAGATAGCAGGCTGCAACTGAAGAAGGATGAAGAACCGCCAGGATTTTGGGTGGGCTCAGGGGACAAGCTTCTGAGGGAGCATGTAGACACTTATTCTACAAGTTTTCCAAGTTTTTTTCCCCCCTTTATTGTTCATTAAGACTGTTTGAACACTGATCTGTTTTTATTCAGTTGTGCAGTTTAAAAAAAAAAAAAAAAAAAAAAAAAAAAAGCAGAAGAAAAATGCATCCCTTTAAATCTTATGAAGCTCTTCACACAGGTCCGTTGCACTTCCGTTGCATTTTTAAAGTCCTGTTTGCGGCATTTTTGGTGCAAGTTTGTTCAGTTAAAAAAAAATGCACCAAAAATACATCCCTCCATTAAAATAAATGGAAGCTGCATCAAAATCGCAACGCACCTATGGGATTGCTTTTTCCACTGGGGAAAAACGCACTGCAGCAAAAATGCATATGCGTTTTTGATGCAATTTTTCAACAGTGCAGTGTGATAGTAGCCTAACAGATACATGATCAGTAGTTTTTCTGACACAGTTTGGTTATACTGCCACCTTCAGGAGGAACTGTACACCAACAAAAAAGCCATTGGCCAGCCAGGTATAACCCCCTCACTGTGAGCTTACCTCGATCTTACCTTAGTTTTTTGCTAGTGTAGTACCATAAAAAACCTTGGGCTTTTAAATCCTTTAGGGCTGAAGTCAAGTCCTCTTCAGCATGAAGGGAAGCCCCCACTTATTAAAGTGAGAGAATGTCTGTTAGCCGTTGTGGACACCTGGTCAAAAATCATCTCCAACGCCTGGGTATCCAGTGTCTACAAGCTAGTGTGTAAGGCCATCACAACAGATGCCTGCCTGAAGGACTGAAAGGAGTCCTAGACACTTTGTTGGTGCAAGAGACTTCGACGGCACAAGAATACTATCTACTAATCAACATTCTGAAGTTACAAGCAATTTGGCTGTTCATGCAACACTGGACACTCTCACTGAAGGGTCATCCATAACACGGTTGGACAACATCACAGCAGTAGTGTACATCAACCATTGGGGGGGGACCATAAGTCCACTGTTCACATTTCTGGCATGGACATTTGGCAGGCAGAGGTGTTCCACCATTTCTTGGTGGCTCAGGCAAATAATTATTCAAGACTATGGTCTTGAGGACAAAGTGCCACATTCTTCCTATCAAGGTGCACTCTACTAAGTCAGTGATTGCCTCTCAAGCTGTTGCATAAGGCAACTGTTTACCAGATTTACAAAGCTGCTACCTGGTCCTTGCGTCATAAATTCTCTATGTTTTACCAGGTGGATATATCCCATAAAGAAGATCCATCATCAGATGAAAAGATGGCTTGTTAAACCCACCATCCAATTCTGTACAGGGGCTGATGAGCTGTGTAGAAGGATATTTAACCCTGCAGACCCGCCTAGCTATCTGAAAACGCTGAGAAATGAAGACGAAGTTCGGAGTGACCACTCAGGAGAAGGGGGGCATAACATGCAGTGTACACAAAACTCGCACAGCCCTCGTCCTTCCTCCTAAGTTGTCAGACAGAATGTTACTGTGCTTCTCCCCGTACTTGGAAACTTCTCCTCGTACTGTGGGGGGGGGGGGGGGGGGGGCGGCGGGCGCAGCTGCAGGAACACGTTACATGTTCCACTGGTGAACTTATACTTTAAACGGCAATCATTCACAACACAGCTTTTACTCTCTCTGTGTGCCCTGAATAGCAGACTGCAGCTCCAAATAAGCCACTGAAGAATGCAGAGGGAGCGTGGCCCAGTGCTGGATTTTACTTCCTTTCCCCCCACCCAATAAGAAGCTAATATTTTGGGCTTTGGAAGGGTGTGAAAATACAGCCAGCAATGAAGGAAAAGGATTTTTTTTTTTTTTACTGCTGTTGGGATGCCCCAACCATACCAGATGCTACTGATTCTATGTCTGCTAATGAAAAACACAGGACTTTTGCATTAAGTATAAAACCCATTTCTTTGAGTTTATTAAGGGACACAGGTTCCACCCCTTTATTTTCTTATGATCCTAAATGCTGCTTTTCTACAGAACAGACATTCTGAGAATTGGAGGTGTTATACCTGGCTGGCAATGGTTGTGTTTTCCAGTGCCCAATAACCCTAACTGTATCAGAATATCTATTGATCCTGTGTCCCTAATGAACTGCAAAAAACAGATTTTTTTTTTGGCAAGTACAAAAATCCTGTTTAATTGCCTATGTACATAGGGCCTACTCATACCAGTCACCCTTTAAAGCCACTTACTAGTCATATCTGTGATTTACCTTCTTAAAAAAACAACTGTAGCCATCAAAATAATAATATTTGGACAGTCTCCAGCTGAAGAAAAATCACAAGCATTTACAATAAAATGTTACTATAAAGGTGTCACCAAGACAAAGTAAGGAGAAATTCTCTTAGATATATAAAGCAATAAACACCTATCAAATATATCCAATAGTAAAAAAAAAAAGTAGAATAGTACAAAATGAAAACCACAACAGGTCCATTATAAATTAAGAAAAATCCATCCTGCACATTTGCTTTTAATCAGGGTGGATAAAAATCAATGATTTTTTTTTTATTAAAATCAGATTTTTTTTTTTTATTTAAATCTGATTTTTTTAAATAAAATTCTTTTTGAGGAAAATATATTACCATCCAAAGGTTATTCCATCATGAAATAAAGATTAGTTTTTTTAATTATGTAGAATAAGGCTGTATATGTTTAATTATTTTGGTAAATAAATTCCATTAATCCATTCACAATGTCATGCTCTTCCAGAGGTTTTTGTAAGATTATTGGGCAGTTTCTCTGCCTACAAGATATTATTCACAGATGCTTGGTTTACTTTTGCAGTTCTTAAAACTGAATTTGACTCAGCAGAGATCACATGCCTCTCCTTCACAGCAAAAATGTTATAACATGAACAGAGTTAAGAAAAAGACCTCAATCCTAACTTCTACAAACCTATGAATACAGAATCAACCCCTTCAGTGCTAAGTTTCAAGAAGTTCAGTGAATAGAATAGAAACAATATTTTTCTGATTGTTTGGAGTGGAATAGAACTGCACAAGAAGAAAGTGAAACTAAGTGAGGAGGAAGGGGCTGACAGTCTAAGTTTCTTAAAATATATATATTTTGTTTAGCCAAATTAGTTAACAAGCATGACTGTCTGTTTAAGCAAATAACATCTGCTGTAATGTTATTGTTGCAGTTGAATAAATCTATTTAAAATTGTTATTATTAAGGTAATGATTATTTTTCTCCTTCCTAAGTACAACAGAAAAGTTGTCCAAATATGAATGATTAACCTTTTAAACTGGGGATAAAAAAACTAATATGAAAAGTTGTTATTCTAAAAATCTTCATCTACTTGCATATTAAAGTTATACCAGCAAGAATTAGTCTTTATGTAGAAAACTATGATTTAAATAAAGCCTTACTGACTAGTGATTTAAATCGTGATTTAAATCAGTTTGATTTAAATCAAATCCACCCTGGTTTTAATGCTTTAAAAGAGGTGCATGGCCATCAGAGATCTCATGAAAATCCAAAATTGCAAAAATACCCAGCAAAACAAAATGTAAAGATAAGAAGCCTTTATTAAGATGTTTGCTGTAATATAGTGTGTGCAATATAAAACGGTCAATGTTTTGAAGACACTATGGTCCCCTTTCTCAAGGTGATAGACAAATGAAAACATGCTAATTGGAAGATTGCCCACTTTCCAGAAACTAATACTTCAGAGGTATGTATGCAGAATCAGAAGACAGAATATCCATTACTTTTCATTGCAGACAATTTTTAAAATTCACCTCATTATTTGGGTCTTGAATGACTTTATACAGAGCAGAGACTAGAGTTTTCTTACGATGAAGAGTTGCAGCATAGGCGGTGAGCTGAGTTTCAGGTAATACCTGTAAAATTAATAAAAGTATAAAAATTTTGCTATAGTCAACAATACAAGCAAAGGCTGTTGGCAATAAGCTCACCAATTGGCTGTGAGCCTGTTTTTCTTGCACTGTAGGTGCATTCAAACTGCTTAGGTTATTTATCGTTTTAGCTGTACCAAGTTTTTTTTCCTCATAATATAAATGTCAATCACAAACAGTCCAGTCCCACTTTTGAGCGCCATAGTAATTCAGGTGCTATAGCCCAGCTATCTGGTTATTACAGATAGTAAAATTATGCATCTCCCTCCTGGGATATGGCTAAACTGTGACTGCATACATTTCAGACACTTCCAGTGCATGAAACAGGGACCATTCTAGCCAGTGACAGCAGACACTGCAAGTATGATTTTGTATCAGATTTACCAATTGGCTTCTTTTCGATCTCTCCCATTGCAGCAACTCAATGACGGCACTACTGTTATCTGCCTGGACTTACATTTCAGCTAGAAAAAAAAACATTCTACTAATGGAAGGAGCTTCAGATGAAAAATACAAGAGTCCAAATTCATCAGTTTATTTATAAAAAAAAAAAAAAAAAAGCTGTGTTTTAAAACATGAAGGATTTTTTTTTAGCATAAACTACTAAATTAATTTGCACTCTTTTATCCTTTGGCCTGGCACTCTTTTCATTAGCACATGTTTTTTATGGTAACCTGCAGGGGTAACGAATGGTGGGTAGCCTTGTTTGTTGCGAGCAACCCAACCTAAGTCAGTGAGCTCCAGATGTTTTTGTTCTCTTACTACTTTGTATGAACTCACATCAAAGTCCCAGCACCTCTTAGATGCTTTTTTCTTCATTGAGTCCTAAATTTTAGCTAGTCTGTGAATGATAACAGCAATGTTACAGTACTGTGCAAATGTTTTAGCCACTTGTTAGAAAAATGCTGACAAGTGAGGATGCTTTCAAAAATAATGAAATTCAGTGTTTTACAAAATTTGTTTTAAATCTAGGAGCCAGTTAAAAAAGTTAGGAGCCGTGTGTGTGTGTGTGTGTGTGTGTGTGTGTGTGTGTCAGCGGGACAGGAGGGGGACGTGTCAAGGGAAGGAGGCAGTGGGGCAGGAGGGGGATGTTTCCTGGGAGGGAGCAGCAGACATTGTCACACACACCTTGGGAAATACCAGTCCTCCCAGCTCTCACTTGTACTGCAGCATCTCCTCCAGATGGTGTCAGTGGAGAGGATCTGGTACCAGGAGGGGTGGCTGAGCCGGTGTCTGCCTGGTTGTTGTGGCTATGTCCTCCGGGTCCATGGGCTCTGAGGGGAGAAGGATGGACAGAGTGTGGCTGTGTGGTGGGGGCGGGCCTTTGGTAACCTCCAGGAGGCTGGATTTCATGGTTCTATGGAGGGAGTCTGGGGGGGGGGGGATTCTTTACCCAGGAAAGGTATGCATCGGGGGGGGCTCCGCCTGGACTCCAGGGGTCCCGGGACACTGGGCTAGGCTTCAATGTGTGGGGCAGGAGAGAGGGGCCAGCTGAGGATTCGGGGTGGGGGACCGCAGGGCAGTGTGGGCTGGTGGGGGCCGCGGCACCAGGATGTGGTTTCTGGTCGCTATGGTGACCTGGCACCTGGCATTTGTTCAGCCCTGATGAAACTAATAGTTTTCTATAACCAAAGTCCTACTGAAGAAAACATTGAGATTTAGGTTGGGTACGTGATCACAATGCAGAATGATATAAGGTCAGTGTGTAAAGAAACTAGATCGGTCCAGATCAGAAAGTAATTAACAGTTTTAATTTATCAATTAACAACCTTATGCAACGTGCATAAACAGGCAAATAACTAAATCTAATATTTGGTTTGTCTGCCCTTTGCCTTTAAACCAGCATAAATTTCCCCAGATACACTCAGGGTCACGAGACACAGAAGGGCCTTCTGCATCAACAAGTTCTCTCACAGCAAAAATTAAAGGAAGACCGGTATTTCCAAATGTATTTGTCCAGGCATTTCTGCAAAAGCACAAAACAGGCAAAATGAGGAACAATAACACAGTGGTTGGCCAAGGAAGCTTGCTTCCCTTCCCAATTGCAAGATGTCTAGTGACAGATCAGACACGGCAAAAACCAAGACCAGTAGGTCCCGGGTACACTAATCTAAATCTGCACTCAAGGGAGGTCTAATCAGAAGTGGTCTTCATAGAAGACTTATATAAGAAATGAAAAAGAACTTATGTGCAGAAAAAATGGCAGCATTTGCTCTGGACTGATGTGTCCAATCTGAAATAATGGGCTGTAAAAGAAGGCAGTTTATTTACCGAAGGCCGGGAGAGTGGTACAAGAATGAATGTCTGCAGGAATTGGAATTTAATCACAATTAATGGTCCCTTCGATGAAAAGTACAGGCAGATTGGACCCAAATTAATTCTACAGCAGAACAATAAACACCATAAATATAGCCAAAGTCGTGAAGAACTATATTCAGCAAAAAGAACACTTGTTCTTTTTGCTGAACATAATTCCAGAAAAATACAGTGTGCACCACAAAGAGCCCTGATCATAGCATTGAGTATATTTGGGATTACACAAAGAGTTGGATTTTTTCTCTTCATGCACTTTGTGAGTTGTTAAATGATAAATTAAAACTATTTGGTATAGAAAGGATTACAGAAAAGTACTGGGTAAATAAAAGTTAATAAAATGTGTGTTCACAAATCTAATGTAAGCAGTAAACTGCAGGGGCAGAAAAAAAAAAGCAGTACTTATAGAGTAGTAGCTCTTCTATGAATTTTAGCACTGGAGTACCAACCTTTTTAAAGAACAACCTCAGTCAGGGCAAAACTCTATAATTGTTCCCTTCAAATTATTTCCACTTTCTTTGTGTTAAGCAGTACACTGCTTAAAGAGTAAAAAACTCCTATATCTTCATTTTCTACTATGATCTAAAAATTACCACCATCCCTTTTGGATGGGGCTATATGTTGCTCAGATCATTGATATCATGGACCTAAAAATACAGAGAAGAATGCAAGCAGGCTTTTTAAAAAAAAAAAAAAAAATTTGATGTGGACCATTTTCATTTCTGCAATACTTTCTATAACATACTAGGTTTAAGCAGTAAGCTCAACTTTTGTTTAAGAATGCCAAAAAAAGAAACAGCATTCAGCGTTTTGTATTCCTTATTTTTCAGCAGTGATCTGCATACTTTTTTTTTTTAGAATAAATGAAATAAACCTACTTTTTACCATTTTTGATTCATTGGTGGAAAAAAAATGGCAACAACTTGTCAGGGGTAGGGTTGCAAGTAAAGGCATAAAATGTAAACAAAAAACCCTCCTGTTTCTTCAGCATCAGTGCCTAGCCCTCTGGAACAGGGAGGCATTTCTCTCTTACTGGCAATGGAAATTCTGTAGCATTGCAGTTAGTGGTGGACTGATTCCTGCATGTCCCTGCCAGCAAGGAAACAATACCAGAGAAGTAGGAGACTAGGAACGATAGTCAAACAATTCAAAAAACAAGTCCAGCAACCCTCGTCAACCTCAGAATTCATCTTGTACTGGTCTGCCATCAGAAGGGCAAATTCTGATTGGATGCACTTATAACAACTGTTTTTTGAATAAGATTTTTTTTCTCAGTTATAAAAGTGACAGTCTCATGAGAAAACTTCCAAGAATTAAATGAAATCACCTTGTATTCCGACAGCCATTCTTCCACTACTCCACGTTCAGATCCCAGCATCTTCTTACCACGTCCACTGCTCTCTCACTACAAAAAGACCACATATCTGGTTACTGGATAGTAATACTTTAGGTCCACTGTAAATAAAATTTCTCTGAAATAATTAGCCAATTCTTAGAATACACAGAATAACGGGAGAATGTAATGCTTACTAATTCAAGAGGGAATTTTAATCACTGGTTAAAACAAACAATTGAGACGATTTTAGTATCATGCCCATACCAACTTTAAAGCCTTCTGCTTTTTAATTTTCCCCGTGAGACACTTTACACCATTTGACCTGATGTTGACTTGCTGATATATGTTTATGTCCTGTGAAATTAAATGTGTTTCCTTTTAACCAGGAAAAGCTGGGGAATATTTTGCTATGACCTGGCAAACATTAAAGCATATGCAAAAAAAAATTTAAATGCAATACATGCACATTTTCTCATGTTGTAAACATGCTGCAAGTACATAAAAATAATTGATGTGCAGAAGTACAGTATACTCCTACCTTCCTCTTTGACATGACAACATATCGTATGTTTGGCTCTGAATTGCAAAGCAGGTGTTGTCAGCCCTGCCTACTTCATTTCTAATAGACTACAAAGAACACAGATTTCTCCTAGGCATCCCCTTCTACCCACTGCTTCATAAAATGTTCCTTGTACACAATAGAGAGCACAAGTTATAAACTCCCAAGATTTCTGGCTAAGTCTACAGGTATTTTTTGCACTTATTGAATAGAACATTCAATATAGCATAGGTGTTAAAATGGCGATCCTCCAGCTGTTGCCAAACTACAAGTTCCATGAGGCATTGCAAGATTAACAGTTACAGGCATGACTCTCAAAGGTAGAGGCATGGTGGGACTTGTAGTTTCGCAACAGCTGGAGGGCCGCCAGTTTGACACCCTTGCTATATAGCATATCAAATCAGAGCAGATAGTTCATTGTTAGTGCTTACATACACTAAGGGGTCTATTTAAAAAAAACAAAAAACTTCACTGGACAAACATCACATCCATAGCATGAATGCAAGCTGAAATGTTCCCTGTATATTTTTTTTAATAGATTATTTCCTATATCAGTTGCATCTACTGGTCAAAATGTGGTATATTTTGAGGCATTTCAGAAAACTTTGCCACATTTTGGCCACTAGATGGGGCAGATGATACAGGAATTGATCTATTACAAAAAATACATGGAAATTTCTTTCAGCTTGCTTGAATACTTCTGATATTTGTTTATGGAGTGTTTTATAAATAGATCAACAAGTATTTTCACTGAATAATTTAAAGTATATGTAAACCTTCACCATGTAAAGTCAACTATTCAGTTTAAAATAGAAATGAAAGGCAAAGATTTGTGTATAGATTTGAAAAATAAAAACATAAATACCTTTTCCCCTGTTTTATAGATGATCACATACCCTCTAAGCTCCTTATGTAGCTGAGAACAGAGAGGTGGGGGGGGGAAACTTGTGGAGAAACAACAGCACGCTGAACTTTCCAGTAAATGAAGCAGAAGTCTGATCATTGGAGGAGAGCAGGATGAGTTCCCAGCATAGCTAGAGAACTGACCACGCCGTGCTCTCATGCCGAGTGTAGCCAGATTTTAATAGGAAAGTAAAGAATTGGCAGGAGCATCAGGGAATTCACAGAAGCAATACAAAGAGAACAGGATATTGTTTCATACAATCATATGATACAGCAGGCACGTATCAGGAATATGAAATGTTGGGTTTACATACTCATTAAAAAGGTGAAGGCTGACATATGTGACTCTGTTAATCAATGCAGGTATCACAAGATCTAGACACTGCATATACTGTAAAGAATGTTCTTTGACAGACATATTTTCATTACACATATTCCCAAAGTGTATAGTAATTTAAATATCACCCCAGCACAAGACAATAAATTATTCCTACCAAAAGGTCCAGAAACACATTTTTTACAGACGAAGCCCCACAGATTACCTTGTGAGGTTTCCCCGAACTTCTGGTTCCCTACTGCAAACCCAATAGCTTAAAGTGGAACTTTAGGTATATTATAAAAGTGGGCAAATATACTGGATTTTTAATGCAGAAGAGACATGCTTTGACCTATCTGCATTAAAAACTTACCTACCTGTCCACCCCTGTACAATGAAAGTGGCCGATGCTAGATACCTGGAAGCCAGCCACTCAAAGATGTCAGCGGCTGGTCGGGAGCTCCAGAAGGTCGCATCACTGGAGCCAAGGTGAGTAAAGTTCTACGTTAATTGGTGGATGCACAACAGGTTTATGTACAATGGTTCTCAGCCACCGCTCCGCAGTTTTCTGTCTGCTAACAGCTAGTGCTGTCACACTGCATTTGGTGTAGGAAAACAGTTGTAATACCAGTCTGTGGCCACTAGATGGTGCTGTCCGCACTAATGAAGAGTTTGTCTATACTAGAACACTTGAAGTTTAGTTATTGTTCTGACTTTGCCATCTGTTGGTGGATATTAAGAATGACAACTACTGAGGAAAAATGTTCTTGCTTGGCAAATGCTGGTATGGGGCCAAAACTGCAGAAGGCAGGGTGAAGTAGACTGTGAGGGAGAAGAACTTCCAGATGGGTAAGGAAAGCAGCATCTCACACAGGCCAGCCTGTAACCATTGCTGCAAACGAGAGAGAAAAGGAGGCGCTACTAAGTGTAGTATTATGTCAACTTTAACAACACATGGTTAAAAGCACTCACAAAGGTAAGTAGTTAACAGACACATCTGCATAACCATGAGGGGTCTCTCCTCTCCGTCTTGCAGGAGCCGCCAGCGGAGGTTCCGGTGGTAATGTGGAGGATGAAAGCAAGGCAGATTTCTTGATACCGAGCAGGAAGACCACCGGAGGAAAAAGGTGGACCAGTAGAGGATCACAAAGATTACAGGCTATACGCTCCGAGCCGCTAGCTCTTTCTATAGGCCTCTAGAAGGAGCTAGAGGCTCCGAGCGTATAGCCTGTAATCTCTGTGATCCTCTACTGGTCCACCTTGTTCCTCCGGTGATATCACATCCGCCTGTGCTTTCCATTCTGGTTCGGCGTGGTCTTCCTGCTCAGTATCAGGAAATCTGCCTGGCTTCCATCCTCAGCATTACCACTGGAACCTCCGCCGGGGGCTCCTGCAGGACCCAGAGAAGAGACCCCCTCATGGATATGTAGATGTGACTGATAACTACTTACTTCTGTGAGTGATCTTAACCATGTGCTATTAAAGTTGGCATAATACTGCACTTAGTGGCTCCTCCTTTTCTCTCTTGTTTTCTCACAGCACAGAGCCAGCAATACTCTGCAGGATAGAGGCCGCCTTATGAACTCTAACTATATGAAGGACTTTACACATACACATGTATGAACTTTACAAAAATTACCAAAAATGGCCACTGCCGCAGTCTATAAATGGCCTTGACAGCAAGAAGAACATGGAAGGGCGAGACATGTCAAACAATAAAACAGAAAAATTCCCAGCTCAACCTACAAACCAGCTTGCAAACAAACTGAATTAGCCTAACAGTATGCGTTAAAAACGGGTTTAGTTAGAACACATTTGCAAATACATGTGTAAGCTTTAGAGCCTCTACAGGGCACCCCGAAATTCTGCAGTTCCTAACTCTACAAATTTTGAGAGTCCCCATTGTAGAGGCACATGTAATAGATAGACCCAGGGCAGGTGAACTTGAGGGAGCCCATCCCTCCTTAAAGGTAGAGGAGCGCACTGGACACCCAGCATATAACACAATGGCAGCCAAGGTGTCCAGTGCACCCCCTCACCAACAAGTGAACAGTACAAAAAATGGCTACTGCCCCAGTCTATAACTGGCCTTCACAGTAAGGAGTACATGGAAGGGCGACGCATCTCAAACAATAAAAGAGAAAAATTTCCAGCTGAACTTACCAACCAGCTTGCAAACAAACCGAATTAGCCTGTCACCTGCCATCACTCTATCCATTAAATACATGTGCTTCTACTATGGGGACTCTCAAAATTTGTAGTAAGGAACTGCAGAATATCGGGGTGCCATGAAGAGGCTCTGCAGATTACGCATGTATTTGCAAATGTGCGCTAGCTAAACCCGTTTTTACCGCATACTGTTAGGCTAATTCAGTTTGTTTGCAAGCTGGTTGGTAAGTTAAGCTGGGAATTTTTCTCTTTTATTGTCTGACTTTACAAACACTGCCAGTTCTGAGGCTGTTGTCAGATTATACTTTCACCTCTTTGGCAGAATCCTAAACCACTGTAACCATTACTGGTGCTGTGGAAATACAAGTTTCAGGGTTTCATCACGTAATGGTGGTATTCTTAAAATGTGAGTTTTAAGCCAGCCTGTATGCAGTACTTGAATACTTTAAGGCCAGGCTAAGCAACAGACACATAATGCCTGCATGTAATAATGGACGGGTGGGTGGATAGAACAGCAGCAAAGAAAGAGAAAAAAAGTACAAAGGAAAAAAGGGAAAGTGAGAATGAAAAAAAATATATATAAATAAAGCTGCAAATATACAAATTATCTTTTTCATTGTGTCTATTCAAGCAGCAGTAACATCTGGTTCCTCCTCTTAAAATACATTTTAAATACATACTTTGTATTGCCGTACTTTTATTGTACGAGTATAAACATTTTTTCTTAACTGTTGAAGCATGGAAAGTACTGAAGGAATTAACCTGGCCCAGCTCACCTAGGTTGAGAACCACTGGCATAGAACACTACCATTGGGAGTTGGATACACAGACAAATGACCCCTTCAAAAAAAAGGAAAAAAAATTCTATGCAATGTCATTTCTTGGTGAGATAAATAACAATGGATTGAAATATATAATCTACTTTACTGAGGGAAGTACAGCTGCAAGCTCCCTCCAGTACTGGTCATGCAAAGGCCCAAGCATTTAGTCAAGTTATCTCTGCTGGAAGGGGATCAGACAACCTAAACTCTAAAGCTGGCCATACATACCCTCGACATGGATACTGGAATCCTCCACGCTGTGACAATGTTTTCA